AACTTCAACAAATTCAACTTATCAGGTAACCAATTTTGTTTTAAACATAACCTTCAACCTCTTAGAATGAGGATGACCATCCTACAAAAAAAAAATTTCAACAGAAATATCCGAACTGAATGCAGAAAAATTGTTAATGCCTTTACACAAAATTTCAACCCGTGCAAGAGAACCCGGCAAAGCGGTACCCATACTACCGGCCGACGCAGGAGTGGAAGTCACCCATGCACCCTTCACATCCCGACCACACAAGTCATCAAACACAAACGTCCGACCATGTTTACTGCCTCTCCTGATCACCTTCCTCGACAACTGCTCCTGCACCCCGATCACCTTCCCCGACATCTGCTCCTGCACAACACAACTAGTATAGTCAAACTTGACACTACATCCTTCATCTGTTAATTGCCCGACCGAAATAAGATTGGGGGTGCAACTTAGGAACATATAACGTGTCGGGAAGAGTGATCGAGGTAGTATGAGTAGTGCCTGACCCACAAACAGATATCTGCCCACCATTTGCAACTTGCAGACTCATAGAAGATACAAGATGCAAAGCTTTAAAAACTATACGATCAGGGGTCATGTGATTAAAAGCAGCTGGGTCTAAAAGCCAACGTAAGGACTTACCAGATGTAGGACTCGTGGCAAAGGCAGAAGAGAGAGCAGCCTGCAACGCCTCTTGAAGCATGCGTTGTATCTGATCCCCACAAAGGGAAGCCGCAGCCCCTGACCCAACAGTAGCAGCCGCGTTAGGCGAGCTAATTGTGACAGGATAGGCAGCACCGCGTGGGGAGGAGTTGCGACCAGGAGTAGGACGTAGGTGGCCCTTCTTGTCCAACGTCGGGAAAGCTAGAACAATGTGCCCCGTCCGTTTATAGTAGTTGCAAAATTCCTCTTCTTGCAGTGAATCTTGACGTGGCATGGCTCCCGACAAAAGTGACAAATGACCTCACCCGAGCTAGGAGGAACGGATTGAGGACGAGACGCGGCTAAGGGTCGACCAATAGCAAAAGCCGATTCAGTAAGGGAGTTCGGATGATCGATCTAAGCCTGACTCTTAAGCCGTGTCTCCTCACGCATGAGCTCAGAAACAACATCATCAATATTAGTAACACCCAGATGAATCAATGAGGCACGAATGGGCTCGAATTCAGACTGGAGTTTAGCAAAAAACTGAAGGATGCGTGTATGAGCACGCTCCGCAATGACAGCCTCGGAAGCGACAACGGGAACCAAAGAAGCTGTCAATAGATCATATTCAGTCTAGAGGTGAAGACAGGCTCGATAATAACCTCGAACATCCCTATCTCCCTGCGCCAAACGAGTGATCACTGTCTCTAATTCAAATTGCCGAGAAGCACTATTCTGAGCATAAGTACGACATATATGCTGCCACATATCATGAGCCTTGGTGAACCGGCGTAAACTGAGGGTAGTGGGGATATCAACCGAACCCACCAGCCATGTGATGAGTTGAGCATTGACTGCCATCCAATCATCAATATCCTTCGCTGCCACATCGGAAGCAGACTCCTTGAGTTCAACTGTCAAAACTGGAAGAAGATGCTTCCCATGCACAAAATTCCAAATATGGAATTCCCACATGGCAAAGTTGCTGCCATCAAACTTGATCGAGACGAAATCAGTGCGTGAGAGATCCATCGAACACAAACACAGTCAACCAAAAAACCAACGCAAGACGGGATACCACCAGAAGAAACCACACACCAGGCAAACGAAGAGAACCCATCAAGCAAAACGAGCGCAGCCGACCGAAGAGAAACCACGCTGCACAAAATAAATAATCCCAATGCTGCAAGAAATTCAAAAAACCAACATGGCCAAAGAATAACCAAGCCTGCAAGACTCCAAAGCCAATGCAGCCAAAAAAACCAATCCCAAAAACCAATGTTGTCCGAATCGAACCGGAGTATGACCCAAAAATGCGAACGGTTCGCGCTTTAGTGGTCCAACCGACAATAGACCGTTTTAAAATCGTTAGAGAACCGGTACCTAACAAACGTTATCAGTATAAATAGTGGACATTTCTTAATCAGAGCTCATCTCTTTCCTTCGAAATTGTGAAATGGAAATAAGGATTCAGTTTGAGAGCCCGAAGTTGTTGGTTTATTTCAATTTTCAATTTCTGCAATTTTTTAATTAAATACAACGACCGAATGGCAAAACCCAGAAAAGCGGCTTGATCGGCTCGAGTGGTTAACTGCCTCGGCCACTCGCCAACCGCTACATAAAAACGGAGCGGCTTTTAGACTGTTTCGGGCCGGTTTTGTGACCGGGTGGCGGTTTTACCGGTCGGGCCGAGCAGCTCGTCTCGGCTTTAATAACACAACCAAAAACAATTCCAACGCAGCTCAAGCCATAGACAGAGCCAATCTATATTGTCCTTGTCCCAGGATAGGGGTAATATTTGGTTGGTAAAAAAATACCCCACATATATGTGTACCCAACACCTACAAGTAATATAAGTATATTTTGCCACTACATCATAGCTCATTACTTGTTTAATAATTGATAAAAATTAATTAATTTATTTGTTCCATTCATAATAATGATTCAATAATAGCTTGTTGGGTATTATCATGATGTTATGAGATTTCATTTATTGAAAGAAATTGATGAATGATCTCGAATAATGATGGAGACAAAAGTACATAAGTCATATTCGTCAGTTTATTTTCTTCTGAAACTAGTTTGATTCTACCTGTTGCAACTTTAAGGGTAGAAATAACATTTTTAGTTTGAACTATACTAATATAAAGTTTCGAAGTCGAATTGACAATCAGTTTGCTAGTGATTGTTTAATAGGATACATTGAAAGAGCCTTACTTAAAAGTATAGACAACGAATGTATTTTGCATTGCTTTGAGAATATGAAAATTCATCATAGTTGTTTATGCAAACATCAATTATATTAGTCTGTTATTTCTTTATTTATAAATGAATTATTTGAATATTATTAATGTTAATTATATTAATTATATATTTATATTTTGAAAAGAGGACAGAGGTAGTATCAAATCATGCCTCCGCCACTGGCTCAAGATCCCAAAAACCAATTTCAACGCAACCCAAGACAAATCTAATGATGCCGAAGATATAACCTGCCGAGCAGAAAAATCAACCCAGAGAACAACTCACCTTTGGAGCAGAGACTCTTATACCATGTCAATTAGTACGAACTTATAACAAACGAACACAAAGATTTAACGTGGTATCCCTGAGTATCAGAACTAATCCACGGGAGAGGTTGTGCTCTCCAAAAGGGCTTCACTATAATCAAGATGGATTCGTTACAAAAGAATAGCCGAGTTCGGCTATATATGGGGTTAACACTAACCTATAATTACGAGACAACTAATATGGCTATTTAGATAATGATACCTAAACAATATAAATCAACATTGTGTTGTACCTCAAAGTGAAGAGTGACGTAAGGTATAAGATCTGAAACTTTTTTATTTTGGAATTCACCAATTGTATCGAATGTGTAGGTGATTAAGCTAAAGGTTGCAAATAATAAAAAAGTCGAGGAACTAATATATGTATTAAAATATACATGTATATAAGAAAATTGGTGTATTGTAGTTTACATCGTTTGGTTTCTATGATAGTTATTGTAGTATTTCAATAAGTTATATTTTTTTGAGTGAAATGTCACTGTTATCATTCGTTTTCAATGTAAAAAAGCAACACAAATAAAAGGGTAGGGACATAGTTGAAAAAATAAAAAATCCCAATAATCTCTATCAAACAATCTCAACAATCTTATAAAAAACTTGAGATTTAACTATCACTCATTTTGAATGATAGTTTGTGTCAAATCAAGCAAAAAATGTATGTATTATTTGTGCAGAAAATTCAAAAAAAACAATATATTGTGGATAATACATGTATTGTAACTATCCCAAGTAAACAATCTCCAAAACCAAACTACCCTAAAATATTGAACGTTGTATTTGAATTGGTTCAAAGAGCTGAGTTGATGGAAGATTGGAAGGCTGAGTAAAGAGTTTTTGTTTTGAAGAATGATCTGAGTGGCGTTGTTTCCCTTCCTTGGGACTCCTGGCTCCGGACTCCGGACTCCGGAGCCACTCCATTTCCAGTCTCAAGCCTGCATATCATCAATACAAAGTAAAAGAAAAAATGATAATGTTTCCAGAAACAGCGAAGCTGAGCTGGCCGGCTCCCTCTTCCCTGGGGTGGGCCCCTCTGCCCAGCCGAGCCTCAGTCATCCACCTTCTCCGTCACAGTTAGGGATGTCAACCAAACCCGAACCCACGGGTACCCACCCGACCCAACCCGATCAACGCGGGTAAAATTCGTGTTGACGGGTTTTGAGTCGAGTTTGGGTTTAAACCCGTTCACTATTCATCGGGTTGGGTTGGGTTTGGGTTTAGGTAAACCCGACCCTTGGGTACCCGCCCACACATATAATTAATTTTCTCGGTATATTTAATATTTTAAACAACTAATCTTATTTATGTTTGTGGAGACATGTCTAATTTTTTCTTTCTAATTGTGTAGAATGAAGTTTGTGTTATCGAGTGGAGAGTGAAAAAACTTAATTGAAAGGAAGAAGGCTTCAATTAATATGTTATTTATGGATAATTTATGATTTACTTCAATTTTCTTGAGTTTTCTAGATTGGTGTTGAACAATTTGTATAATTAATTTGTGATTTGCTTGAATTTTCTAGAATGTTGTTTTAAATATGGATAATTTGTATTGATAGATTGATATTTGACTTTAATTTTGATAGGAACTTGTTATTGTAAATTTTTTACGACAAAAACCCGTGGGTACCCATGAACCCGCGGATACCCAGCGGGTTGGGTTTGAGTTTTTCAAACCCAGTGGGTTTTACCCCGAGTTTTTTTCACTGACAAACCCAAGGGTTTGGGTTTGGGTTTGGCAAAACCCGACCCATTGCCATCCCTAGTCACAGTAACTGCAGTTCAAACGACGTCAACTGACGCCGTCAAGCCACGTTCTTCCTTCCTTCTCCATACAAACGGACGTGAACTGAGTGAAGTCGGGCCAGTTTTGTTTATAGCGGCTCTGCAGATCTGATTTGAAGCTGATCTCAAACACCCTCCATTTCTTCTCCCCTTTCTTTCTCGCTCGCTGGCTGGCTCGGTGAGTCGCTTATCTAAGTTCTCGTTCGTTTTCTCTGTTCCAATTTTTTTAGGTCTCATTAAGGCTTAAGCGCTTGTCTGGATCGGCGGCTCAGATCCGGCTAGCTCAGATCCAGAGCTCATCTCTATTTCTCATCAGCTCCCTTTTTCTTCGCCTTCCCAAAATTTTCCCTCCCTCTCTGTGTTCCCTCTCTTTTCTCTGCTCCTTCTTCACTTGTCTGCAAATGCTGAGGAGCTTGAAGAAAGCAGAAACAGGCACAAACTTCAATTAGGGCTGGTCTAAATCGACAGTCCCCCGACTCGAAGATCATTTTTATTGTAGATTTTCGATTCTGGGCTTGTACAAATTTGGGTTCTTTTCGAGTCTGGCTTCTCAGAACCCTGTGGGGGTAAGACTCAGGATCGAAGGGGGACGATTGGGAGTGTACTTTTAACTTTTAAGCCTTCATTTCTCTTCAACTTCTGGAGGTAAGAGCTTAACCAAAGCCTCGGTCTTTGAAGGGTTTGAATCTATGTTGTTAATTTGGGTTGTAATGGCTGATTGGTGGGTGTAATGTCTTAGACAGGAAATGCTGTGACTGAGAAAAGCTGCTTTTGCTTGCTTGCTGCTAACCTCACATGGACTGGAATGCTAGTAACGCTTTCAAAACTTACAAAGGTAACCACCTAATTTCCCTCCCTATCAACTTTCTTTCTCTTACTGTAACCATATTCGATTGAATGAAGAACGGCGTGAAATGGGGTTCTTCGTTTTGTTGTTCGTCTGTCGTAGCAGAAATGGAACCAAAATCCGTGATGGATATGTCACTCATTCAACAAGTTGATCCAGCCGACATTGCTCTAGGCTCTTCGGAAAGGGGAAACAACTCTATAGTCCACACAAAGCGAAAGAAGACAATGACATCAGTTTTCCTCAAGTACTTCGAAACTGCTTTAGATGGCAAGAGTAGAAAGTGCAAGTTCTGTGGACAAAGCTATTCCATTGCCACCGCCACAGGCAATTTGGGAAGGCACCTCAGCAACCGCCACCCGGGCTACGACAAACCCGCCATTGTAGTAGACTCAGTCTATGCCGCATCAGCGCCACCACATCAGCAACCACAACCCATCACTGTAATCAAGAAGGCACAACCTGAAACCAAAGCACAAATCGACATTGACCATCTCAATTGGCTGCTCATCAAATGGGTAGTCGTGGCTTCACTTCCACCTTCAACCATGGACGAGAAATGGCTGACTAACTCATTCAAATTTCTTAACCCATCGGTAGAACTCTGGAACGCAGAGAAGCACAAGGCAGTGCTCCAAGATGTCTTCAGAAGCATGCAGGAAGACGTGAGGGCCTCTCTGGACCAGGTTTCTTCTAAGTTCTCGGTAAGCCTCGACTTTTGGAATTCGTACGAACAAATCTTCTACATGAGCGTAACGTGCCATTGGATCGATGAGCATTGGTGCTTTCATAAGGTTCTACTCGATATATGCCGTGTACCTTACCCTTTTGGAGGTTCTGAGATGTACCAGTGCCTGACCAAGGTTCTCAAGATGTATGGACTGGAGGACAGGGTGTTATCTTGTACTCATGATAATAGCGAGACAGCCGTTCATGCTTGTCATGTGCTGAAGGATGACTTGGATGACCTTAAAGCAGGGCCGTTTTGCTATATTCCTTGTGCTGCTCACAGTTTGAATATGATTATTGATGATGGGTTGAGGACGACAAAACCAATGATCTCTAGGGTACGGGAGCTTGTGCTAGAGATGAATTCATCGGTTGAGATGTTGGATGATTTTGTTCAGTTGAACTCGGCATACCAGGAAGGCAGCAGTTGGAAGTTTCCTCTTGAAACTTCAACAAGATGGAGCGGGAATTACCAGATGCTTGATCTTGTGCGGAAGGTATTAGCATAGAATCAGACTAGACTCTGTTGTGTAAATTCGTAGAAGTGTAACCTTTTTAGGAGTTGACTCAAATACACTAACTCGTAATCGTACCTCTGTATATTATAATGCAGGCTGGTAAATCTGTGGACGGTGTCATGAGGAAGTACGAAGAAGTTTTAGGCAACAGGATGACATTAGGTTCTACAGAGAAGAATGCAATCACTGTTGTTCACGGATTTCTGGAGCCCTTCCACAAGACAACAAACGACATATGCACAAACAAGTTCCTCACAGTTGGTTTAGTTCTCTTCTTCATGGACCACATTTCTGAGACGATCAGCATGTGCAGAGAATCTCGCCACTCTCCAGAATGGTTCAAAACTGTGGCAGAAGATATGGCCAAGAAGGCCAGAAGTTACAGCACCCAAGTCTGCAACTTATTCACCTACATGACTGCAATCCTTGACCCGCGTATAAAAACTGAGCTCATCCCCGAGAGCCTCAGCTCGGGAGGTTACTTAGAAGAAGCAAGAGCACACTTCGTAAGAAACTACTCCACAACCCATTTTGGCCCATCGATGGCGGGTGGGTATGGTGTGCAGTCGCAGGAGATTGAAGACAGAGGACACGCGAATGTTTCTTTTGCCGAGGAGATTGTGCGAAAGAGACGAAGAGCTAGTATGAGCAATGCGACTGACGAACTTACTCAGTACCTTACGGAGGCCCCAGCACCAATACCGACTGATGTTCTGGAGTGGTGGAAGGTGAACAGCACACGCTACCCTCGACTCTCAGTGATGGCCAGAGATTTCCTGGCAGTGCAGCCTACCTCAGTTGCGCCTGAGGAAGTGTTCTGTGGGAAAGGTGAGGAGGTTGATAAGCAGCGGTTCTGTATGCCACATGATAGCACACAAACCGTGCTTTGTGTTAGGTCATGGATTCAGAAGGGGATCAAGTTTAAGTACAGATCAACTGAGATTGACTACGAGAGGTTGATGGAGATGGCCGTGGCTGCAGCAGCGGCAAGTAACAACGTTAGCAGTTCGGACAAGAAAGAAAACTGATATAGGTAGGACATCGAAGAATTGAGGCTACAGACGTGATTAGCTTCCCTCATGTTGTAGACTTGTTGTAACTTGTAGACAACCATTTGTTTTAGTTTGTCTATTGTTGTAGTATGTAATGCTTGTACATGTGCAAATACAGTTGTTTCTAACAATAAAATGTTAGCCCCATTTAAGGGAAATTTATTTAAAAACTATTTGGAAATCAGATTGAGCCTTCGTAACAATTTGAGAATCCAGATACAAGGTTTAACAGCCATCTAGAATTTAAACCGTAGCTTTGGTTCCCAACTCCATTCCAACACACGAACACAGGCCAAAAGATTATAACCACCAGAAAACTGAACTCAGACTTACAGAGGAAGCATGGCACAGTAACATCAATAATAATTTAGTAAACAATCAGGAGTTTCCTATCCTATTCAGTCAAAACCCAGTCCACGATTTTCCCAGCACTGGCGCCTTATATTAAGAGGTGATCCCTTCGGTACTCCCGCACGATCACAGGAACACTTGTTGGTGGGATCTGCAATCATCAGTAAAAGGATTTTGCAGAACACAAGTAAAAATAACACACCAGAACGAGCTGAAAAACTGCAATGAACATATACCAGGTCCAGGAGCTTTCAGGACTTACCATGCCATAATCAGTAACAATCATAGATACATAATCTGCAGGAGTAGCATCATACCTGCCACGTCACAACCCAGAATTGGAAGGTTAGATACATTAATAAGGCATAAATGGGAGGAAAACCTGGCACACTGGATCGCTTACATCAAATTTAGGAGTTGAAGATTGCCAGAATTTGACACATCATTGAGGTAGTTCACATCCATTCTCCCGGGCACCTTTCCAATGGCATCAGGATCACCTGCAACCAATTCGCAATTCACCAGGTCATGAGTACATTCCCGGTGTCTTAATTCACATCACAGCTCCAAACAAGAAAAACCTTACTTACCGAGCTCATTTGAACAGATTGAGTCCAGTTGCACCCTCTCATGAAACTTATAAGCTTCGCAGCAAATTATGACAGGAACTCGAAACGCATGGGCAACCATAGCCACACAAGCAGTCCCAACCCTCGAATATACTGTCCCGTTAGACAGCACTGAAGAAGCACCGAGGAAAACTTTTGTCACTTCATGCATGACATACGAAACGGCATTTATGTGAGTGTAAGTACAATGCACACCCTTTGCCACCAGCCTACGAAGCAAAGCTTTGCCTTCAAGTTTGGGCCGAGAGTCGACTACAATGACACGGAATTGTTTCGCCAGCTCATGAGAGTGCAAGAGAACCATCTCAACCACACACGACGATCCGTACACGAGAAGCACGTCACCATCCTTCACTTTGCTGGAAGCATGCTGAACTATGACTCTGTCAGCCAGTACTATTTTCTCATTTATGAAACGATCAATGTCGGTGCATATGGAGGATTTTGATTCTGATTCAGACAGAGATGGGGACAACTTGGCAATCCGATTTTTGAGAAACCTAATGGCGTTGCCCATGCTCATGGAAAGTGGTCGGCATTGTGTGAAGAATGAGACGTAACTACTGATTTTTGCGGTTAAATCTCTAGGGAGAGTTTTTTCAGGCGGAGTAGAGTAGTCTTTGACGACTTGTTGAAATGCCTGGAGCATTGCTATGCAACGAGCGTTTCCCCCTGAAATATCTCCTGCCAGATACTGCAAACCAACCTGCCAAAAGTTTTGCACAAGAGGAAAGTTAAAAAGAGCAGACTAATATAACTGGAAATATGATACGTAATAAATGAAATGAATGTCTGATCTGCTTTTACTAACACATGCCACCTAAGTTAGACACCCGAAATCACCAAAGAATAGAAGTAAGACAGCTGAAGGACCATGATATCAGGCCACCCTTCTTCACACTATTAAAATGCTTGCTCGAATTAACCGTCTTGGAAAATACCAGACAGATACAGTCATACAGACAGGGCTTTCAAATTAATGTTTTTTCTAGGTATTGGAGAAGCAGAACAAAACAATGAGGATAGGATAGATTTTTTTTACTATGGATATGATAAACTTCAAAAATGCCAAATTACCTTGTAAATTGCAGGGTGCATTGGATCAAGTTGCAGAAATTTGGACTCCAGATCAGCAAGCTGAGTGCCATGTTCATACTGAGGCAAGTGACGAAACAATTCAACCCTTTTTTTTGCTTCGGTTTGATCGACCACTGAACGCCTTTTAGCCTTTTCAACACGACTCTTATCATCAAATTGCATTCGTGGTGCAGGGGCATCTTTTCGCCGCTCTTTATCTTGAGACTTATCACCTCCCTTCCGTTCAGAAGCTGCAACTGATACTGCAACCTGAGGAGCATCTTTCTTTTGTGTTTGATGCTGTTTCACAGATTTAATAGTAGCCACCTCCTCAGGCGCAGCGACAGATTTACCACCGCCAGGGGCTAAAAATGAAAAGAAGACAAGACGATTTCTGAAATTTAAAATGGCAGTTCAGCAAGTTTCTTTCGACTTCGTAAGGAAAACAATCAGTATTAGTTTCATATATATGTTGATACCATTAAATGAAAATTTGGATCCCATAACTTCTCGAACTACTTCAAGTTTCTAACATAATTTTCTTCATTTTGGTTTGGATAACATCCCAATCGTTAATTCACTATAGGAATGATTCAGTTCCTCCAAAAAACATTTTGATAAATCTAAAAGTTCTTTCAGTGAGAAACTGAACATTTGTCTGATATAGGTCAAGGCTCAATGGCTAAATAGAGAAACAAAGAAGTGAATGTGTCAGCTGTCAAAGTGATTATTTTAAATGACACTCAATGGCACTTTGAACAAGAAAACTAGAATTCCAGTAAACACAAGCAAAACCCAATAGTTCAATGGAATGCTTCAGTAGACACAAGCAAACTCGGCTTTCAGTAGCATTTTATAAAGTGAGATTGGGAAACCATCATTCAAAATAGAATATGTGAACTTCCTAGGGAGAAAAAACAGAACGTATAAAATAAGATGTTACAATCAATGGTACAACAAAAAGTTTCCACCATAGATGGTTTGGAGAAACACAATCATAATTCATCTTAGGATAACTCTGCCCTAATCTTTTTGGGGAAAAATACCAATTACAAGGAACAATTCACTAAAGGTCGTCAAGGAAAACTAAGAAACAAATACCAATTACAAGGAACAATTCAGTAAGAAAATAAAAGTAAGATAGTAATATTGCACCTTTTGCAGCAGCTTTGGCGGCACGCTGAGACTCCTGCAATGCACGTCTTTCAGCTTTCGTTAGCTTTGGTTTTGGTTGCTTCGAGCTTGATGGAGCCTCAGGTTGCTGTTCCTTTGGAGCTGGCCTTGCACTTACTTCTGCAAGAATTGTATTATTCAGCAAAACGTTGTGGAAATAACTATCGAACCAAAGTTCTAAAACTGCATTCTCTCTCACGTACGCACCCTATGAGCTAAGATTCTCCACTAACGTAAAGGCACCTCCTTTCGCGAGTTAAGAAATCCCAAAAAGCAAAACTCTTTTTTGGGCAACCTTCTTCCAGATATCTTTAGCCATGAGCAATCTATCAAGAACAAATTCAATTCAATTCGAACTTCCCCACGCAATGCACTTAATCACCCCCAACATTCCGATGAATAATGTACACTTACCAGAAATGCCGACGGGGTTCTGGACCTTGTTGGGTTTCAAAACCTCAGCAGTTGACTGGACCGGACTGAAGTCAAAAGTCCCGCTAGGCAAACTGGAAGCCAGCTTGCCAGAATTGCTCCGCCGAAACCAGCCACCGGACATCGTCTCCTCCGACTCGCCGTCGCCGATATGACTACTGGACGGGGACATCGCCAGCAGAGTCTCGGCCGGATTGTAGCTACCGACCAGGAGAGCGTTGTTGTTGTCGGCGCCGCGGCGGCGGAAGGGGGAGGGTTCGGGAACGGGGAGAGGGGAGGTCGGACGAGGGGCGGCGGCGAGGTTGTCGGAGTGGTGACGCGGCGGAGGAATCATGACGGGGGACAGGGAGTTGCTGGCCGGGGAATCGGAGAGCGGCGGGGAGCTGGAATCGGGCGGGCCGGACTGTGATCGGGTCGGGGCGGGCTGGGCGTTTGGAGTAAAGAAACCGACCTGGCGAACTCTAGGAACTGGGAGGGAGCCTCGACGGGCGTCCATGGCAGAAGGGACGGTGTGGAAGGAGAAGAATAAAGGGGTGGAAGTATTGTACTGCGGCGGCAAAATTACCCGGTCGGAGAAGCTATTGACGACTAAAAAAGGGCTGGAATATCAAAGATTCATGTTTGATTGGACGAAAATTTTAGGGTTTTGGGTTTCCGGGGACAGGGGAGTAGAGTTATTGCGGAGATGCAGTTACCGTAGACGATTCCATATGAAGATAAAAGATTTGATTGATGGATTCAATTGGGGACAGATTCTGTTTTCCTTTTTCATTCACTACGGTTTACTGGTTTAGGAAAGATTGTAATTTTTAAGATTGTTGAAAATTTATTTTAAAATGTTCAGCTAACCATGATAATTAATGTTTAATAAAAAAAATAGATATGATTCGAGACGTTTTACCATAGCTCATATTTATGTTCGTTTACAAAAGTAAAAGGTTGAACTCGACTCGAGCTTAACGAGCAAAAATGAAGTTCAACTCATTTTTTGAGCTTGTTCTGTGGCAGGTTTACAGACGAACTTGATTGTGAGTCAATTGAAAACGAGCCGAGTTTCAAACGAATTTTTCTCGAATTGGACATCGAGACTGACATAACATTTGCTTCGATCCTAAATATATTATGTTTGTCCTGAAGACAGGTACTTGGGATTCCCCTCCCAACTCCGTCGGTCCAAATCTCTTTCCTTTCAATTCATTGAAGAGGACTTGGCAGCTCGAATAAGGACTTGGAAGACTAAGGCTCTGTCCCTGGCGGCGAAAGAAGTGGTGATCAAAGCCATTGGGGCGGCTGGTCCTATTTATGCTATGTCGGCTTTCAGACTTCCTCAAGAAACTTGCCGTCGTTGCAACAGTCAGCTGTCTAAGTTTTGGTGGGCGGGCCAGGACAAGGAGAATGGCATTCACTGGATATCTTGGAGTGCTGTCTGTCAGGGTAAGTTTGCTGGTGGGTTAGGTTTTTGGGATTTTAATCGTTTTAATGTTGTTTTGCTAGCCAAATAGGCATGGTGCATCCTCTGCAACCCCAACAGCTATCTAGCCCGGATTTATCAGGCTAGGTACCATCCGTAGAGGTGTTTTCTTGATGCGACATCGGGCTCCCGGCCTTCATGGGCATGGCAAGGCATCTCGGAAGGGCGGGACCTCCTCCTCAAAGGCTTACGGTGGCAGGTTGGAGATGGCTCTCGGATCCGCACGTTGCAAGACAACTGGCTTCCTTCCTCTCCTCCTTCATGCCCTTTATTACTTCCAGGTTTGAGCGCTTGCCCCCCTCTTGTCTCTGACCTCATCTGTCATGTTTCTCATTCTTGGAAAAAGGATCTATTAACCTCTCTTTTCTCTCAAGAAAGTGTTGAGCTCATCTTGTCTATTCCACTACCTCTAGTTTTCACCTCGGATCGTTTGATTTGGCATTACTCTCCTTCTGGTATCTACACCGTTAAAACCGGGTACCATCTTCTGTCATCTGAATACTACCTTCTTCACCCCCCGGCGGCGCTACCTTTTGATTCAAAATTTTGGAAGCTGCTCTGGAGTATTCCTGTGCCACCCAAATTGAAGTTCTTCCTTTGGCGGGCTGTTCGTGGTTTCTTGGCTCTACAGATAGTGTTGTTCACTAAAACGCTTGTTATTGATACTATTTGTCCTATTTGTTCTGGGGAACCAGAATCCTTTTCCCACTTTTTCTTTTCTTGCAGGATAGCTCGAGGCCTTTGGAGTCTGGCTAACCTTGAAGGCCTGAGTACCATTCTTGGCGGAATGCCTCCTGATGAGGCCTGGCCACATCTTTTCTTCTCCATGAACTTGTCCAAACTCGAACTTGCTAATATTGTTTTCATTCTTTGGAGAATTTGGAAGGGACGTTGTTGGGCGGTTCACAATCACATTCAGTATCTCCCTCATGCATTATTTCGCCAGTATCGACGCCAAGTGGACGAGTGGAGGGAGGCTACTCAGGCACCTCCACCTCAGTCTCATCGTAGGACTGCTAATCTCCCCGCCGCATCAGCTCGTGTTGGGCCATCCCTGACCACTGGAATTTCTCCTATTATTAATGTTTGGTTTGATGGGGCGGCCAAGGAGGTAGTATCGGTTTCGTAGGTTTCCATGAGACAGGTACTGTGCCCTTTGCTTTTGGCAAATATTGTGATGGAATTCAAGATCCATTTATTATGGAATGTTTAGCCTAGCGTGATGCCTTGCAGTGGTGTCTAACTCATTATTTTCTTGATGTTTCTTTTTATTGGGACTCTCAAATTTTAATCCGGCGGATGGTTGGAGGTGATTTGCATCATGATCGGGGAGGTGCTATTTTGGCAGATGCTAAGAGATTGGCTTCTTCGTTTAGCAGTATCTATTACTGTTTTGTGTCCCCTCAACTCAATAGGGCTGCCCATCATGTGGCACAAAAGGCCCTCTCATCGAGAGTTTGACTATTGGTCGACTCTCGCTCTTTTCTTTCTTCATCCTTGTGACTTTCTTTCAACACTGACTTTGTGAAAAAAAAAATATATTTTATGTTTGGAATAATAAAAAGGTTGAGAATTGAATTCCATTGGGTCTAAAATGTGGGAATTACAATTCCTATCAAAAGTGATAGGAAGTGAGAGAATGAAGATGAAATTAGTGGGACCCATCAATACTTTTTATTATTTTATTGACTCACTATCATTTTACTCTCTTTCTCTCTCATTCATATATCATTTCCCAAAATAAAACAAACATATTACGTTATTTATTATGGTTAAAAGTACAATTCATTTACATAATTGTAGAAATTATACCAAATAGTAGAATTGGAAATGGAATTCTATATCCATTTCTATAGAGTTTTAGCAATCGAAAAAAAGGAGCAAAACGATCTGTCCTCTCTCCTCGAAAAACCCTATCGCTTTCTGCTGCGCCTCTTATCCCTTATCCTCGCTGGAATCTCTAGGGCAGAGATCAGGAGGATCACGACATCTAATCGATGGCCGATTCATGGCAGGGAAGCAATCAAAGCAGCGGTAATCGTAAAATGGGGAAGGGAAGAAGGAATTTGTGTAGAAGACGAAGACCCAGAAGGAGACCTTTTCGCTCACGACTGGGAGTTTTCAGAAAAAAGGGAAGTTGTGGCAATATACCCAAATCCGACGTTGGGATGAAATCTCAAAAAAGAAAAGGGGGATAATCTCGAATCAGGAGACGGTTGCAGATACGGTGATGCGATTGGCACCGAAATGGGTATATATTACCACGAATCGGCGTCTCGACCCTACGACTGAGCGCCTAGAAAATACTGCGAAAAAGAAGTCGATACCAGGAGGGCTGGCTATACCGAGTGATCGAGGTATTATCACCATGATTCAGATGGTCATTCTGAGATTATATTTTCTTTGGCTCACTCCCCACATCGGTGCTATGTGTTTCATTGCCATGTTTCGCATTTTTACTCAACATTTTCAGGTGATTGAGAAGATCGAAACCATGTTGGGAGAGCCAATGGACGCTGATCAGATTGTGGAGTTTGAACTGGATGATGTGGAGAACAACATGAGAAGGGCTAAGCTCAGCCTAATTGGGAGACTATTTATGGATAACCCGCCGAGTTTAAAGACCATTCAGAAGATTGTCCAGGGAGAATGGGGTTGTTCTAGTAACGTGACGGTCATTGAAGCGGAGTTGGGACTTCTTCAGTTCTTGTTCAATGATGAGCGTGATAAAGATTGGGTCCTGTAGCGTACACCCTAGCAGGTGAAGGAACGCATCCTGCAGCTACAAGCGTGGGAACCAGTAACCCCAGACGTGGTGGACTCGTTGTCGATGGCTCCTTTCTAGGTTCAAATGTGGGGAATCCCCTCACATTGTCGAACCATTGCGTTTGGGAGGAGAATGGCGGAGGCGAAGCTCGGTACGGTACTGGATGCTGGGTTGTTTGGCATTCGAGGAGTTCCAGGGCATTTTGTCAAAACAAGGGTGAAACTGAATGTGATGGAACCCCTACGGTCTCAATTGTTTGCGAGCAATCCGAGTGTGGGGAAGTTCTGGTTCACGTTGGTCTATGAACATCTCCCTCTATACTGTTACCATTGTGGTAGGTTCGGCCATACTGGCCAAAACTGTGAATTCCCACCACCGACAGGGGAGGAATATTTTGGTCCAGGGCTGACTACCAAGGAATCGTGCCACAGATTGAATGAAAAATTGGTGCCAATCCATGGAGCTCCACTCCAGAAGACAGTGTGGGTGAACCCTATTACTCAAGGGAAGAAAAGAAACGGAGAGGAAGCACAGCTCGAAATGGCGTCTCAAGAGAGGGGCGAAACCACGAGGAGGGTAGTCCTGGCACTACCTGCTGAGGGAAGTAATGGGAGCAAGGAGAAGAGGGTGCTGGGTGGGAAACAGGGAGCTCCTAGCGGGGTGGATACAGGGAAGGAGGGGAAGAGGGAGGGGGCAACTGGATCCAATGGCCATGAGGCTGCTGGTCCACGTGACAAGAGCAAGGGGGTAAAGGCAAGCCTGAAAAGCAGGTGATAGGGGGTAATCAAGGGGGTACTGGTGGTGTGGTAAAAGGAAAGGAGGGCAAGCAGGGGGCTGGATATGGGGAGCCGAGCGGGAAGGAAGGGATGAGGGACGGTGCGGGTAGATCTTCCATACCGAAGAAGGAAGGGGGGAATCGGAAAGAGAAGATGGAGGTGGATAAAGGTGTGTCCAGGAAGGAAGGAGCCGAGGCAAGGGATATGAAGATGGAGGCTACAAAAGTTGGTGCTGGAGGATCAAAAGAATCAATTAAAATAAAGATACCTCTGAGGAAGCTAGGTGGTGCCGTGATGATGAAAGAAGGGGGTCCAAAAATGGATGAAGGAAAGGCTCCGATGTCGGGGAAGGAGCAGGCTGTAGGGAATGAGAAAGGGAAGAAAGTGGAATCGTCCGGGGGGGGGGGGGCAAGGGGGAAGAAGGTAAAGCAGAAGGGAACAGAGGTGGGCTTACACGAGCCAAAAGAAGGGGAGAAAGAAGGGATGCCGAACCAAATGAGAGTGGAAACAGAAGAGGTTCAGGGAATGATGAGTGCGAGAAACAAGTGGCTTTTCGTATGGTGGCGCCGGAACTGAATGAAGCAGAAGAAAAGAAGAGAGTTGCGGCGATGGTTGCGGACCTCACAGAAGACCCGGCGCCGGTTAAGAAGCTATGCTTGGAGGACTCAAAGGGTGAGGAGATAGAAGACAAGAATGATGTGGTGGAGGAAGCCAGCCGAGAGTGGACCCAAGTCGATAAATGAGATTTTTAGCCTGGAATGTGCGTGGGATTGGGCCGTCCATCACATTCCAGTCAATTTTAGGGGTCATTCGTGTCAATAATCCTGATTTTGTTTTCTTGTCGGAAACGCGTTCGCGTCGTAGGGTAGTGTCTCGTAGGTTGCGAGGTCTTGGGTTTTCTGATTTTCATTTAGTTGATGTTGTTGACTCACCAGGAGGGTTAGCAGTAGCGTGGTCCCCTGGGAGCGGTGCCTCAGTATTGTCTAGTTTGTCTTTTTTTTTTTATTTCTGTCGGTTTGGAAGTTAATGGAATAAAAGTAGTAGTAGTGTTTGTCTATATTAGTTGTCGCGAGCATGATCGTGTTGTCCAGTTTGATACGTTACGCAGATATTGTGCGGGATTGCAAGAACCATATTTGATGGCTGGGGATTTTAATGGAATCCTTGCCTCCGACGAAAAAATGGGGGGGGGGGGTGTTTCGTGGGTCCCAACTCATTCTCAAACATTTCGATCATTTGTTGATGGGCTAGGACTCCATGATTTGGGGTTCTGAGGGAACCCTTTTACGTGGTCAAATCGGCGAATGGGAAATGCGTGTATTCAGGAGAGATTGGATAGAGCATTAGCCTCGGAACGTTGGGTGGAGAAGTTCTCGGAGGCGATGGTGAACCATGGAACGGACCTAGGGTCAGACCACCGGGCCTTGATCGTGTCTGATATGACCCACATGAGAGTGGCGAGATCCCTCTTTTGTTTTGATGCCCGTTGGGCGGAGAACCCGGAGGTGAGGCCTATGGTGGAGGAGATTTGGGAGGAGCAGGTCCAGGGCTCTCCGATGTACCAACTGTGGACTCGTTTGAAGAAATTGCGGCACCGACTCCATAGTTGGAACCGGAAGGGTACTTCGAATTCAGCTAGGCAAATTCGGATTTTGGAGACTGAAATAGCTGTGATAAAGGAAGAATACCCTATTGACTGGGAACGAGTCAATAACTTGGAGCGGGACCTCACGATAAAATGGGCAGAAGAGGAAAAATACTGGCGTAAAAAATCCAAGGTTCGATGGTTGAAGGTAGGAGATCAAAATTCATCTTATTTTCATACTGTCACGAGAGCTCGATGACGTCGGAACTTTGTAGATAGATTACAAAACGAGGACGACGAGTGGGTGGTGGAAGAGGAGGCAAAAGCTAACCTAGTTGTCGGGTTCTACTCACACCTATTTACGTCGGGGATGGAGGAGACTGATATTTGGGACAAGGTGAATGCCTTTCCCATTGATCGGAGGGTCACAGAGGTGATGAACACTAGCCTTACGGCAGAAGTGACTCCGGAGGAGATCCGGTGTACGGTCTTTTCTATAGGATCTACGCAGGCTCCTGGTTCGGACGGGTTTACTGGCAAATTTTTTAAGAGTTTTTGGGACATAGTGGGGCCATCGGTGATTGCCGCTGTACAATCATTCTTTGTGAATGGGTGTATCTTACGAAGCTTCAATCACACGTGGCTCACGTTGATCCCAAAAGTGGATACAGTGGAAAATATGCGCCAGTTGAGACCGATTAGTATTTGTCAAGTGGTGTATAAGATCATATCGAAAATTATGGCTGAGAGGATGGCGAGTTTTCTATCAGATATTGTTTCTCCTTGTCAGAATGCCTTCATCCGGTATCGACAAATAGTCGATAATGTTCTAATTGGCCATGAAATGATGCACTATTTGAAAATTAAGAAGCAAGGTAAGAAGGGTTACTTAGCTCTGAAGGTTGATATGGAAAATGCCTATGATAGAGTGGAGTGGTCGTTCTTACTTGCAGTCTTAAAGAAATTGGGTTTTAGTCCATTGTGGATTAGTTGGATTCGAGAATGTATCTCTACTACGAGTTTCTCGGTCATGATGAACGGGAAACCTTCGAGGTTTTTCCATTCCTCTAGGGGATTGCGACAGGGTGACCCATTATCTCCATTGTTATTTGTCCTTTGTACGGAGGGATTTGCAGCCTTGCTTCATCAGGCAAGCGAGAGACGGGAAATCGAAGGTATTCGTGTGAGCCCGAGGGCTCCACGGGTGTCTCATCTGTTTTTTGCTGATGACTCCTACTTGTTTATTAAATTTTCGGTGCAGGGGTGCAATGATCTCCTAAATGTGTTGAAAGAATATGAGGCACTAAGTGGTCAGAAGGTGAATATGGATAAGTATGATGTCTGCTTCAGTGCTAACTTCTTGGCAGAGGAGAAAACCGAAATGGCGGGGATTCTGGGGGTGGGGGCGATTGGGACCCAAGATAAATACTTGGGACTTTCGTCCCTAGTTGCCCGGTCAAAGGCAGATACTTTCCGGTTCTTAGAGGAAAAGGTCCTGCAGAGGATTCAGGGATGGAAGCAGAGACACTTATCGATAGTGGCAAAGGAGACCCTGCTAAAGACAGTGGCTGCTGCTTTACCGGTACATGCAATGGCGTGTTTCAAGATTCCCGCTACTTCTTGTCGGAGATTGGACAAGCATATGGCTCGGTTTTGGTGGGGGTTTGTGGAGGGGCGGCCTAAGAGCCACTGGTTATCATGGAAGAAACTTTGTCGGAGTAAGCATGTGGGAGGGTTGGGCTTCCGGCGCTTTGAACTATTCAATCAAGCTCTTTTGGCCAAAGTGGCTTGGCGGGTCCACACAGAGCTTGACTCTTTGTTGGCACAGATCTATAAGTCCAAGTATTTTCCGCAAGGGACAATCTTCACGGCCTCTAAGAGGTCTCGACCTTCATGGGGTTGGCAGGACGTGCTCTTTGGATGCCAGTTGCTGCGGCAGGGCATGGTCTAGTAGGTTGGCTCTGGTGATCACATACCGATGATGTCCGAGGGATGGATTCCGTCGATACATCCATCTCCTCCTGTCTTGCGGGAGGATGCTCCTGTGGAGGGCACGGAGATGGTGGCGGATTTGATGGATCCCGATACGGGGGAATGGTGTCGACATTGTTTGGAATCAGCATTCACTCCATCGACGGTGCAAGCTATTTTGAATATCCCTTTACCGAGGGAACCATGCCGGATCGACTTGTTTGGAAGGAGGACGCCTCTGGGGTCTACACGGTTAAATCCGGGTATAGACTGGCGGAGCAGCTATCCCGCAGACCAGGGGTTGGCAAAGCAGAGTGTAGCACGATGGATCGAGGACTATGGATAAAAGTGTGGGGGCTTCCAATCCAGCCTAAGCTTAAGTTCTTTGTGTGAGAACTCTTGCACCGAATATTGCCAACCATGGAGGCTCTGCTGGAGAGGAAGGTGTTAGTTCTTGCTAGATGCCCGGTTTGTTGGGCGATCGAGGAGACTACTGAATATCTCTTTTTGCAGTGCCCTGTGGCGCACGGATTGTGGGAGGCTGTGGGTTTGACCACTGAGTTGGAGATACTTCCCACCAAGTGTTTTAATATTTTTTTCCGACGCTTCCTGGAACGCAATGCTTCGCCTTCCCGTGTAGTTCGGTTGGTTTGCTTGTTATGGAGAATTTGGAAGGGTCGGAACTCGGTAGCTTTTGAGGAAATTCAGACCCTTCCATCTATTCTTCGACAACAGTTCCTTTTTCAGGTGAATGAGTGGCTACAGGTTCCGCAGGGGGAGGGACGGGGTGGTGCTACACATGCTCTGCCGCAGAATGTGGGATGACCTGGTGGTCAGGGGATTCGATAGGTGGAGTTATCCGCTCCTTTGATGATGCAGTCCGTGAGGGGTCCCATGTAGCAGGAGGAATAGTTCTACGTGATGCAGCAGGTATGGTGTTGGCCGTCCACGGGGTGATGTATAGTGGTTTGCAGAATCCCATGTTGGTGGAGTTATCCACGCTTCGGGATGCCATCCGGTGGTGCCAACGCCTTGGCTTGGAGACTGTATTGATGGAAGGTGATGCGAAAGTAGTTATTGATAAGATCAACGCAGGGGGCATCTCTGACGCTTCTGGTGGGGCCATATTTGAGGAAGTTGCCTATCTTCTTTCGTCGTCGCCCAGGTTCCAGATTATGTTTGTGGGTTGGGAGAACAATAGGGTAGCCCATTTTGGTGGCTCAGAAGGCCCTGTCTTTGTTTCCTACGGGTTGTAATGTGTTTGATTTTCATACTTGGCTCCGTTTGGAGTTAGGTCATATGTAACTTGGTTTTCTTGTTAATTCAAGTGATCGTTTCGTTAAAAAAAAAAAGAAATGGAATTCTATAAATATAAAAAATAAAATTCCATTTCCATTTCTTCGGAAATTGTATCCAAATAGGCTATAGGAGATGAAGTCTTA